TTCACCAACAACCTCTTTACTGATACTGTTTTTCTTGTAAAAACTTTCTGAGGCCGAGATCATAATATCTTCATATGCAGTCACAACGATAAGGAGAAAATCCACAACACGTTTTAGGGGCTTAAATAGGACCGATGGGGCAAACTTCCGAAATCGCCTCAGAAGCATCGGCTGGACTAACATCTTTATCGTAACAAGAGAATTTCATCTAAACAGCAGTAATATCTCCACTGAGTTCATACATTTAGGATCCTGGAGAACAAGAATCTCTGAAGACTTATGTATTCGCGAGCATATTCGAAAACGACTTTGAAGATACACTACCAAATTGCATGACCTTAGTGACTTCGACTCATTAGTTATTATGGCAGAAATACTTATCGAGACAGAGACAAAATGTACAGAAAAGACAATTGTATGGGAAAAACGTGCTTATGAACTGAATAATGACTCCCCTGACCTTGTTGAAATCCTGCGAAATAAGATTAAATACTACCAAGTAAAATGAGGGAGCAAATTTTGCCAGGACAACCAAGTATACACATACCATAAAGGTGTCACTGAGCTACTTAGAGAACAATTATACTTCATTAGCAAAAAAACCCACTGAATGAATCACCGCTGACGCAAATGCCTTCTTGTGAAATTGCCAGTTGAGACGTTAAAGTACACAGTATTTCTAAGGACATTAGCACACTAAAGGACTAGATGGTATCCCAGCACGCATGCTAAAAAACGATAGTAATGTTCTGTGTCCTACTTCTTAAACTATTTACTATATCACTCTCTACATACTGTCACCCTAACAACTGTAAGACTACACACATCATGCCAATAATTATATCTAGGCCTATCGCGAATGTTGACAGCTAATGACAAATAAACATAACCTCAGCAGTAAAAGCGCTGACAGTACAACACTTACTCATTACCAATCTGCTGTCGACCGCATAGAATGGGTATCTGAGTCCCAGGTCATGCGATACATACCTGCTAGGCTATCTAAATGATATTACTCAAAAACAAGACTAAAGACTACTGATATCAGTCCTAATCTTCGACTTTAAGAAGGCTTTTGATAAAGTCCCACACAAAAGGCTTCCATTCGGAATCAGTAACTCATTATATTCGTAGTATGTTTCATCCCTAAATGAACTCTAACAAGTGACAAGGTACAACGATTGCGTCTCTTGACCATGAATATATTTTCCCTTCATTGCCATTCATGCAAGCGTCGTCAAATGAGAAACATATAGTGCCCATTCTCCTACTAACCATAGTAGGTTACGCGTTTACGCTCCCACCTCAAACATTCGGAGTTTCTTCAGTACTTAAATTCGCATCATTTTCTTCTGTAAACTTCCAAATCATTTTTAATTTTCGTTTCTAGTAAAAAGATAAATTCAGTAGCCTGTAGATGCTGCTCGACTATTGTTGATCGCAAGAAACTCAAACTTTTCTCTACCATTGTGAGTTCCTTCTTGTTCATGGATTGACAGCCAAAACAAGTGTTTATTTCCCCACTCATTACCATCCAACACCTTGTTTTCTTGCCTATCTATCGCCTTACTCATAAATTTTACCACTGTTTTCCCCCATATTCTTTGATCACTCATATATCCTTCCTATGGTCCAAACTATCTATTAACTGACCTAAGTGTTACACTTTATACCATTAGCCAACTTAATATCCGTGTAAGATGCTACATGGATATATAACTCAATGCATAGAAGCTTAGGCTGTCTAGTTCACTTGCATCATGGAATAGTGGAGAAAGTGTATTTCGACAAATTGTACAAGAAACAAACTTTAGACTAAAACATTATTTAGAGCATACCACAAACGTAAGAGAGCCCAATATCACGAAAGAAGGGAGGGTGATGTGTCTAACCAACATTCATGGCGTTGAAGCAATAACCTCAATCTACCCATGTCTGTGGGGCAGATTTTGTTTGCTTACGACTGATATGCTTGCAGCTATTACGAGTTTACCTTACTTTGTGAACGGAACGAAGATCAACGATGTAATGATGCGATAGGCTGTTCTAATCCGATTGTCACAGGCCCCACTAACTAGAGGAAAAAGTCTTGAAAAAACTAAGACAGAATGTACTTCACAGGCTCCCAAAAAGTAAGAGGTCCACTAGAACAAAACTCAAGCTCATTTATGCAATGGTAAAATGACGCTGGTGAGAGTCACCAAAGCGCGTACTTAAATAATCCATCAGCAAATGGCAGTCAAAGATTTTCCGAGTGGGAAATGCAGGTCAACTAAGGTCAACTAAGCGTTTTTGGAGCGAAAACAGAAATTCCAAATTTCAGAAATAAATTACGAAATTCGGAGATTTTCCTTGTCAGATCTAAGGATCTAGCGTCCCCAAAAACGGCTAATTATCATGTAGCAACATATAAGTAATCAATTAAGTTGAAGGTACGTATTCAACTCTACCATGTTTAGGACTCATATTTGTAAAATTGAATTGGTTTTAATCGCCGGAATATATATTATCTGACGACTATCAACAGGCAGATATTCCACATTTACCTCACCGGTTATTGATGAATGCAGACTTGGGTTCAAATTGTATTGGTTTACAGCAAACCAAAGGAGAGAACAATTCATATTCCAGAAGAGGATAAATTCAGTAAACGACCACAGTAGAGGGCCCGGACACACTAGGAAAGAATTCAACTGTGCAACAAGTCATGTCCCAACCTGTAATCCATGAGGACAAAGGAAAAAAGGACGACTGAAGGAATAATTACGTCAAGGATCGGAAGCATAAATAGGAAGAACGAAGAGCGAACGGTGGGACTGGAAAGGAAAGTGCAGAACAGAGCAGGTTGGCGAATGCTGATCAGCAACCTATGGTTCATTAGGACCAACAGGCGTGAGTAAGGTGACGGGACTATCAAAGTCCTGCTACAATCGTTTATCAGTAAGTTGTCATCCGAATTTCTGGATGATGAACCACTTCAATATCGCGCAGCCTACTGAGCATCAGCGTACAGGTTCACAGAATTCTCACTTGATATTTCACTTTTCGAGCATGAACCACGCATACGGGTAGAGGCACAAACATACCTGTCGGCACGCGAAACCCAACAACATATACCGTACATACATAATCTTCGTGACCGATGCCACACAACTATTGCTCATGTCTTCCAAAAATTTGATATTCAAGCAGAACGAGATGAAATGTATTCGTGCTAAAGACTAGGAACTGCAGACAGTGTCGCAATAAGAGAGGTACTCTCTAATTTCTACGTTGCACGGTGTCTAAATTTGGAGTCGATCTTGATTTAATTTGAAGACTAATGTTGTAATTACAATACCTACTGGAGACAGATCTTTCCTTGAGCACAGCATCGCGAAGTTCTTGAAAATTAATTATTCATGTGCTGCTAGAACAGGTTTTCCTGAACAGTATTGTCAGCAAGCATATATATTCATCCAGCAATGCACTAGACTATAAAAATGATATACTTCTATTTGCGATCATGTGAATGAGTCATATATCGTCAGAAAACTGATAGTATTGTCAAGGCGATTGTGGCTGCGCAACAAACAACGATGCTACGATAAGATTATCGTGTATGGTCGTTCGACTCTCGATTTACGTTGGTTTATCCTGCTCTCACTCCCTGAATATAGTAATAGGTCGGATATGAACTTTATTTAGGGTTTTAATCGCCGCTCGTCTGCATCAGACGATGTCAACTACCACTGAGCTCCAAATATTATCTTTCCTAGTTGGATATATACCCAGAACAATCATTGTATTTCGGAGACTAAATCATGGTAAATGGTGTAGTCAGATTTGCTTGTAGAAAGGAGGAGAATGGGAAGAGCACGCATGGCGCGCGAGAGATAGTCTTTAGTACAGATAAACAAGAGGTATACAATATAACAATTATTGTCAGAATCCAGTACATAATAAATGTTTATATTTCAGTAACTGTGTTTTCTTCGTAAAAGTATACCACTACAAACTCGTGGAGAAATATATAAAATTCACAAACGATTCAATTAATGCATAAAGCTATGTTTTACTGCTGTTTTACTGCCAATCAAATCAACACGAAACCTTTCCTACTTAAAAGAATCTCTGAAGTCTATCTTGCATACCGTACGGCGTCTTAGAAGATAATTTGAAAAACCAAAGTCATTATGATGGTTACTGCTCGTAATCAAGTAGCTAGACAGACTAGGTCTCTCGATTATCTAGTCATTTTATATTAGTGTTAGCTTCTCTTTGTTTGCCTAATAACCACCTGTGTAATTGTTTTCAACCTCCGAAAAAGATTGAAAGAGATGAATTTGTTCAGATTAAGGGTTTACAATCACCCCATGAATGCACCGATGACATTTGCCATACATTGACATCATGCAGTCCTGTGATTGTTGGTACAGGAAGGGTGTACATGAGAAGTACATCAATGTCTTTCGGGCTCTGTAAAAGGCTTACGAAACTGTCTTCATATCTGAGTAGTAGTATCAATACTGATGGTCTTCTGATCGATAACATCAATCTACGTTTATACTGAGTATGGTTATCTCAGGCTCTTTCAGAAAAATTCGAGCCGTGAAATAGTCATACATACAACAGTTCTGTTCTGCATTTATGAAACCTTGCCCTTCTCAGCCAAATATATTCTTTGACTCATTGGCACGCCTAAGCAAATTAGGTGCATCTTACAAACCCTCATCGTTATCGATTGTTTCTAGTCCGTGGAACGCTAATCGACCAAACATTTACTCCGGAAAGTAACAATGTCAACGGTCTGTTCCTGTTTCACGTGTGCTAGTCTATATCGAATTATCGTTTCACATTTGCTGAAGTGCCCGAAAATCCTCGACCCGTTTATTCTTGTCGGAATGCTACAAGACGTCGTAGCATTAGGTGATCAGTAAACAACGGTCCATGCACGATGTCACACATATGTTCAGCCCTAAAGTAGATTAGTAGTAGAAGGCTTCTCTAAACTAACTACATTGATAAATAAATCACTGTTGTAAGTTGATCAGAATTTCAAATTACGTCAGTGACAATAATGTTACTAATGCTTATCTTACTTGTGCATGAATGTCAAATAATAATTTTTTGTTTGAATCGATCTGTTGTACTCGCTGTTGAAATAATCATGTTGATACCTATTTTTGATCGTCAATTAATTCTGATAAATAAGTGATTTTCTCTTTGAATCTGTTTTGCTCCTCACTCACTTCTTTCTTGTTATCTTCAGAAATTCCTGAGTACTTCTCGTATTGATTTTGCAGGACTTTCCTCATTTCAATTTCTTTATTGTAAAGCTGTTGAAGTTGTTGGTATTCTTTTTGTAATTCCTGATAGCGTTCACATATTTTATCGGCTTGGGCATTAGAGACACTAGTTTTTATTTGTTCAACTCGACTTTGCATCAATTCTTCTTTTAACTTTCTATTTTCATTCAATAAATTTTCTACTCTCTCCATCGAATTTTTCTCCTCTTCAAGTGTTTGTTGCATTTCTTGTTGTAGTTGACCATTGTCGAATTTCAAAGTGTCCAATTCTTCTATCTTATTTCCTAACAACATTGCTAAATGTTTTGATACGTTTTCCAAATTTTCATTTTCACATTTTGCATAATTCAATTCATATCGCTTATTGTCGGCATTGATTTGAAGGTCTTTAATAGCTTTTAATTCTTTGATTAAAAATGATTCATTTTCTGATAAAGTTTCGATTTGCATTTTTTTATCTTCTAAATCTCTTTGTAATTGATTCCTATACTTCCATAAAGACATATGCTCCAATGTTAGACCATCTAAATGTTTACGCGTATTCGAATATTTCTCATTTAATTTTAACAATTCTTTTTGTAGAGTATAAATTTGTAATTCTAAATTTTGTTTTTGTAGTAATAAAATTTGTGATATTCTGGTTAACTTTATATATTTTTTTTGGTTTTCCATATCTAACTTAGTTTCGTTGATTGATTTTGATTTCTTCATTGATTTCAACAGTTTGCCCATAAATATTTCCATAATTGCTTGTTTAATTTGCATACGTCTAAACTGATCTGATTTTAAAAATGTGGGCACTCCTTTAGCATTGACCTGTTCCATTTTTGCTGATATATTTAGCTGTTTCTTAGATGAATCAGTACTTAGTGACTGCAGTTGTGCTGTTCGGTCTAAATCATTTCCTGGTGATGGTCTGTACAATTGGACATCACTTGATCTCATGTCTGCACTGATTATTACTTTTCAAAGGTAATAATGACAAATATTTAGGTTGTATAGCTTCACTATATTACTTCAGTGTTAATCAGAAGACAATCATTTCTGTTTTGCTAAATTAATAGCATTATTGATTAATGAACTTTTAAATTATCAAACAATATTCGATTGATTTATAATTACCTATGAATAATACATAGTTATTTTATGTAGGTGACTGTAAATTAATCGATAACAGTTTAATCATTTAAAGTTTCATTATTTACTGACTAAAATGAGTATCATTTTAGGAAAAAGAGAAGCATGCGTGTTACGTGAAATGCAACGTAGACATGAAGAGGAGAAAAATATTGAATCGGTGAAAGTAAGATGTTAGAACAAGAAATTTTTACAAAATCAGTTTGAATAGAAACACTAGTTTCTTTAATGCTGAGATTGATAAAATTAGTGAAGCCTTCAACAATTACAAAGAGAAAACGTTAAACTTCCACAGCTTATACACTAGGAAAAATGAAACAAGAAAACTTCTACACAATCCATGCAAGAGGTTTGTGGGAATTTATTCGTTTCATGTCGTTCTTCGAAGAAATCAAGTGATCCATGTATACTTCAGTTTCAATCGATTGCTCGAACTTTTGTACCTTTTGTTGATATGTATTTTCATCAAAACCATGTTCACTCAACTATAAGCAAACAATGAATGAACAAACATTTATATTTAATCTTACCTTTCGTCATGACGCCAAACAGCTAGATGTATTTGGAGAGATTCGAGCACTGACGCTTCAAGCATCCATGGTTACAAAGTTTGTGCAGAGGCTTATGGCTTACATGTTCAGGTAAAACACATACAATACAAGTTTCGCTTCAGAATTCTAGTATTACTTCGGGAACAGTAACTGTACTATTTGAATTATGTTGACCAATACGAAGCATTTGGAATATACAGATCAGCCTTCTGATGCTTGAAATACATAAAGGAATTATCTACGGTTAACCAGGTTGGATAAACCAGATGAGTGAAATCATCTGAAAACAGTATTGATGTGAAATTGATTGAAGTGGAGGAAAAAGTTGCAGCTAATGGAAAGACATGATTTATCGGATAACATAAGGCAATAAACGACACCGACTCCACCAGATATCGAACCAACACGTACACATCATAATGCGTCAACGAATCGGGTTACGTAATTCGTTCATAAAACTGTAAGGATATTCACCGAATACCCTAAAAGAACTATTTTTGGAAGTCTAATTCTTTTGGTCAGTATTATGGTCGTCCTAACTGTCACATACTTAACACTAAGCATTCATATACCTTACTGAAGGCCCTGGCTTACGCTTTCAGTCTATGGGGTTGCGCATGCACAGCTCTGAGTGTTCAACACGAGAACGAAAAGGTTAATCAGTGCTTCCATTTTTAAAATGTTTGTCTCATTTATATCGGTTAGTGATTTCAATAGGATTCAACAAGCTTCACATTGTTCTGACAACTTTTAAACGTTGAAAGTTTCTCAATTAACTCGTAAAGACTGAACGAAGTACAAAACATGATAAAAGAGGAAAAGGAAATATCTGTCATAATTAATTGACGATCAATACTAGGTATCACAATGATTCATTTTTAGTGAGTGAGTAGATATTAACCACGATCACCGCTAAATGCTCATTACGAACTCGTCACTGTAAAGATAAATAAATCCAGGTAAAAAAAATATATATTTGCTAGTGATTCCATGGTGTAGAAAGAACACCGAAATTACCACAAGAGCAGCTACGTCAAAAATGGCATGAACACAAACAGAGAGTTTGGCATAAAAGTGTTATGAACGAAAAATGCAATTGAACAAACACTGGTAGAATTAGTGAAGATTATCAATATTTTCATTCGACCGATCGAGTTGCCTTCGTAAAGACATTCAAATACACAATGAAACGTTAAAAACGGTATCGATACCAATTATATTGTTATCTGACATTAGTAGCATTATTGTCACTGACGTAATTTGAAATTCTGATCAACTTACAACAGTGATTTATTTATCAATGTAGTTAGTTTAGAGAAGCCTTCTACTACTAATCTACTTTAGGGCTGAACATATGTGTGACATCGTGCATGGACCGTTGTTTACTGATCACCTAATGCTACGACGTCTTGTAGCATTCCGACAAGAATAAACGGGTCGAGGATTTTCGGGCACTTCAGCAAATGTGAAACGATAATTCGATATAGACTAGCACACGTGAAACAGGAACAGACCGTTGACATTGTTACTTTCCGGAGTAAATGTTTGGTCGATTAGCGTTCCACGGACTAGAAACAATCGATAACGATGAGGGTTTGTAAGATGCACCTAATTTGCTTAGGCGTGCCAATGAGTCAAAGAATATATTTGGCTGAGAAGGGCAAGGTTTCATAAATGCAGAACAGAACTGTTGTATGTATGACTATTTCACGGCTCGAATTTTTCTGAAAGAGCCTGAGATAACCATACTCAGTATAAACGTAGATTGATGTTATCGATCAGAAGACCATCAGTATTGATACTACTACTCAGATATGAAGACAGTTTCGTAAGCCTTTTACAGAGCCCGAAAGACATTGATGTACTTCTCATGTACACCCTTCCTGTACCAACAATCACAGGACTGCATGATGTCAATGTATGGCAAATGTCATCGGTGCATTCATGGGGTGATTGTAAACCCTTAATCTGAACAAATTCATCTCTTTCAATCTTTTTCGGAGGTTGAAAACAATTACACAGGTGGTTATTAGGCAAACAAAGAGAAGCTAACACTAATATAAAATGACTAGATAATCGAGAGACCTAGTCTGTCTAGCTACTTGATTACGAGCAGTAACCATCATAATGACTTTGGTTTTTCAAATTATCTTCTAAGACGCCGTACGGTATGCAAGATAGACTTCAGAGATTCTTTTAAGTAGGAAAGGTTTCGTGTTGATTTGATTGGCAGTAAAACAGCAGTAAAACATAGCTTTATGCATTAATTGAATCGTTTGTGAATTTTATATATTTCTCCACGAGTTTGTAGTGGTATACTTTTACGAAGAAAACACAGTTACTGAAATATAAACATTTATTATGTACTGGATTCTGACAATAATTGTTATATTGTATACCTCTTGTTTATCTGTACTAAAGACTATCTCTCGCGCGCCATGCGTGCTCTTCCCATTCTCCTCCTTTCTACAAGCAAATCTGACTACACCATTTACCATGATTTAGTCTCCGAAATACAATGATTGTTCTGGGTATATATCCAACTAGGAAAGATAATATTTGGAGCTCAGTGGTAGTTGACATCGTCTGATGCAGACGAGCGGCGATTAAAACCCTAAATAAAGTTCATATCCGACCTATTACTATATTCAGGGAGTGAGAGCAGGATAAACCAACGTAAATCGAGAGTCGAACGACCATACACGATAATCTTATCGTAGCATCGTTGTTTGTTGCGCAGCCACAATCGCCTTGACAATACTATCAGTTTTCTGACGATATATGACTCATTCACATGATCGCAAATAGAAGTATATCATTTTTATAGTCTAGTGCATTGCTGGATGAATATATATGCTTGCTGACAATACTGTTCAGGAAAACCTGTTCTAGCAGCACATGAATAATTAATTTTCAAGAACTTCGCGATGCTGTGCTCAAGGAAAGATCTGTCTCCAGTAGGTATTGTAATTACAACATTAGTCTTCAAATTAAATCAAGATCGACTCCAAATTTAGACACCGTGCAACGTAGAAATTAGAGAGTACCTCTCTTATTGCGACACTGTCTGCAGTTCCTAGTCTTTAGCACGAATACATTTCATCTCGTTCTGCTTGAATATCAAATTTTTGGAAGACATGAGCAATAGTTGTGTGGCATCGGTCACGAAGATTATGTATGTGCGGTATATGTTGTTGGGTTTCGCGTGCCGACAGGTATGTTTGTGCCTCTACCCGTATGCGTGGTTCATGCTCGAAAAGTGAAATATCAAGTGAGAATTCTGTGAACCTGTACGCTGATGCTCAGTAGGCTGCGCGATATTGAAGTGGTTCATCATCCAGAAATTCGGATGACAACTTACTGATAAACGATTGTAGCAGGACTTTGATAGTCCCGTCACCTTACTCACGCCTGTTGGTCCTAATGAACCATAGGTTGCTGATCAGCATTCGCCAACCTGCTCTGTTCTGCACTTTCCTTTCCAGTCCCACCGTTCGCTCTTCGTTCTTCCTATTTATGCTTCCGATCCTTGACGTAATTATTCCTTCAGTCGTCCTTTTTTCTTTCGACTTACGGGTACACTTGTTCAGTAGATTTTTATCGTTTTGCGGCAATGACACTAATTTTTATTACACTCAAATGGAGTTGTTTTTCCGACTTCTAGGTAATTCTAGGATTTCTATCAAGTTACGTAACTGTCGTTAAATCGTTCTTTATTTCTTAAGGAACTTCGATAGAAATCTAGATAATATCCGAGAATTTTCAGCTTTTTGTATCAAACTAATTTATGCTTGAAAATCCATGTTTATGACTTCAGAGCACTCATGAATTTATCTCGGAAATGATCCAGTACCTATATCTGCAATCACAGAGTTTCATTTTATAGGCTGAACGAAATTCTATTTCGCCAATCTAAATGGCTGATCGGTCCAGTTTTTTAGGGATGAACTAGATCAGAAAAAGGTTTTTAAATTTTTTCTATAACCATGGTGTGACTGCTCACCAAACATCAATTTACGTTTTCCGGTCAATGCCTAGCATTTCTACAATCCTATTTTCTAACATGTTTACTCATTTCAGTATGAGAGATGCTTTTCCTGAAAATAGTAGTGGCACAATATAAATCATGCAAGAGCGTTGAGGTGTATGCTACAGCACAGAGTCTACATCAATTAACCATGTATAACATCTATTTTGGTTTTTTGTCATCCCATTGTTTCGCAAGTTAGTCTATATATAGTTATCCCAGCATCCTTGCTGTCCCGTCGTTTTTAAATGATAGCACCGAAACGGTTTCAGTAAGTGGTCTTAATTTATTGACAACATAACCAGACATCACAACATCCTAAATTTAGTTTCTACCAGTTACCTCATCAAACTACGCCTGTGGTCCCACTGGGGCTCCTGTGGGTCTAAAACTGGATCTGTCAGCTTTATCTAAGGCCTGTTTCCTAACATCAGCATCGCTATCGCCAAAGTGTGAATATTAGGCCTATGCGAATACGTACAGGTCTGCACACAGCACGTTTTTATTGAGTCTGCTCTTCAACAGCACTAGTTAGGCTCAGAATTATCATCGAAGTTGATATTTCGGATACTATAGTAGTTAAACTGATTGATCTGTAACTGTAGCAAGAGAATGTTTGTCCTTTCTTATAGACCCCAATAATTTGCGGTTGAGGACAGTCATATAGAATAATGTTCAGTTCAAAAGATTCTACCTTAGATCCTTGTCAATCTGCCTGCCAAAACTGGGCCAACATCCCCAAAAATGTAAGAGGTCTTTTTGTTAGGTCCTGCTGCACTCCATCGCCCCAGATTTTCTATAGCCTTTTTAGCTTCGAGAAAGCCTTGAGGACTTAAATCTACTCGTCATTCAGGTTGGCTGGAAGTCATGAATAACTGAAGATTTGCTGAAGGCTAGTTAATCGTCGGCTTAGTTACTTACGCCTGTTTCCCCTGAAGGAGCACATGCCGCTCACCCGTTTACTTCAAACTAGTATTCACTGGGCTCTTTTCCCATCTGGTACAAATTTATTTCATTCTTTTCTTGTTTCTCTACGATACTCGGAGCAACCCCTTCTTCGGTTTTCCACTTTTATTCCTCCTTTGATAATTCCAACTGAGGTCTTTAGTTGTGTGTTGTTGGATAGTTTCCAAACAGTGCGTTTTATCCACTTTCATCGCATTTTCCTGATTGCTTCCTCCACCGTTTATTCTCCCTCACAGTAAGTTATTTCTGATTATGTCCGAGCAAAGAATCTATCAGATGAGGTTACGTACAGTTTCCTAATTCTCCATTATATTTAACAAATATGCGGTTTACCTTCAAAGAAATTAATTGTTGCCAAAAGCAAAAAGCCTCGGTTTGACTCGATCATGTTCAACAGAGGCCTCGATTTACCAAAAACGTTGCTGCAATAAGTAAATTACCAGTTTTGGCTTGGGTGACTGAAGGAATTTAGAGGAAAGGGCATTCCAGTAGTCTACATGTCTTCATGAAGTCAACGTTATGCGATACATACCTGCTAGGTTATCTGAATGATATTACTCAAAGACAAGAAAAAAGACTACTGGTGTCAGTCCTAGTCTTCGCCTTTAACTTGTATTGGTTTACAACAAACCAAAGGAGAGAACAATTCATATTCCAGAAGAGGATAAATTCAGTAAACGACCACAGTAGAGGGCCCGGACACACTAGGAAAGAATTCAACTGTGCAACAAGTCATGTCCCCACTTGTAATCCATGGGGACAAAGGAAAAAAGGACGACTGAAGGAATAATTACGTCAAGGATCGGAAGCATAAATAGGAAGAACGAAGAGCGAACGGTGGGACTGGAAAGGAAAGTGCAGAACAGAGCAGGTTGGCGAATGCTGATCAGCAACCTATGGTTCATTAGGACCAACAGGCGTGAGTAAGGTGACGGGACTATCAAAGTCCTGCTACAATCGTTTATCAGTAAGTTGTCATCCGAATTTCTGGATGATGAACCACTTCAATATCGCGCAGCCTACTGAGCATCAGCGTACAGGTTCACAGAATTCTCACTTGATATTTCACTTTTCGAGCATGAACCACGCATACGGGTAGAGGCACAAACATACCTGTCGGCACGCGAAACCCAACAACATATACCGTACATACATAATCTTCGTGACCGATGCCACACAACTATTGCTCATGTCTTCCAAAAATTTGATATTCAAGCAGAACGAGATGAAATGTATTCGTGCTAAAGACTAGGAACTGCAGACAGTGTCGCAATAAGAGAGGTACTCTCTAATTTCTACGTTGCACGGTGTCTAAATTTGGAGTCGATCTTGATTTAATTTGAAGACTAATGTTGTAATTACAATACCTACTGGAGACAGATCTTTCCTTGAGCACAGCATCGCGAAGTTCTTGAAAATTAATTATTCATGTGCTGCTAGAACAGGTTTTCCTGAACAGTATTGTCAGCAAGCATATATATTCATCCAGCAATGCACTAGACTATAAAAATGATATACTTCTATTTGCGATCATGTGAATGAGTCATATATCGTCAGAAAACTGATAGTATTGTCAAGGCGATTGTGGCTGCGCAACAAACAACGATGCTACGATAAGATTATCGTGTATGGTCGTTCGACTCTCGATTTACGTTGGTTTATCCTGCTCTCACTCCCTGAATATAGTAATAGGTCGGATATGAACTTTATTTAGGGTTTTAATCGCCGCTCGTCTGCATCAGACGATGTCAACTACCACTGAGCTCCAAATATTATCTTTCCTAGTTGGATATATACCCAGAACAATCATTGTATTTCGGAGACTAAATCAGGGTAAATGGTGTTGTCAGATTTATATGGAATAAATGTTCGGTTAATTCCTATTTTATTATGTTTTGCCGAAACCCATAATTATTTCAATTTAATCATTGACGGAACTATTCATCAGTATCACTTGTGGTCACTTGATATGTGAATAGATAATGCGAGTTTAACAAACGACCAGAAGTTCACATAAAACAATTGATAACTAAATCTTTCCTGTCATCTATTACTGAAAAACCTTGCCCTAATATCGCGTAAATTCCCGAATATAAACTGACGCAGTGAACAGAAACTATGGATTTCTCACTCTTATTTGTATCTCCTACCAATGCATCTGATTAAACAATTTGGACTAACTTGTGTAGAAATTGGTGCTCGTTATTAGTGTTGTTTTCTTATTCTACGTTGTTGCGTGTGACACCAGTGTCCGCTGTCATTGTCAGCTAAGGGTTTTCAAATAACATTAATTGAATCCACGCCTTCTTGTCATAAGCACACCTTACCCCGCAGTTAAGTAGACAAATTAATGATAATTCAGCAGATGAAATCGATACAGACTACAAAGATTAACATAACCTTTAGTAAAATGACCTGATTAGGGAGTACAGCAATGAAAATGATTGGGTTGTAATATGTATCAAGGCCCATAGAAGAGAGGTTGAAGTAAGTAGCTTAGTGTCTTAACACTGAAGTGGTGGTTTCAGGAAGAGTGCAATTCGTGAAAATATTGACAATTATATTGTCCACTGTCCATCAGTTTTTTCATCAAATGCCAAATTGTCAGTGGCTGAGTAAGCATGTTACAAGTTGTCTTGATGGCATATTACTGGAAACCTGGGTCTAAGAAGTGGCAAGCTTATGAGAGTAACCTCAGTATCACTGTACAGTCGCTTCAGAAATCAGAAACAGTAGATAGCGAACGATATTTTTAGTTTTAGTATTTCATTTTACTGGTTTTTATAATCACCGGTTTATTAGAAATTTGCGGTACAGACTACTATAGCTATGCTGGAGATTGTGGGACATTGTAGATAAATACTTAGTTTGTTACTTAAGTACTACGTGGTTTCTTGATGTCTCCAACTCCATCACTTACTGAGTATTTTATCGAGTGGATTATAAGGTTTTGAGAATGAATTCAGAAGTTCACAAACCCGGAACAAGGTAGAACTAAACCACTTTCATTCTTTTTTTTGAAGTAGAATTTTCAAAAAGTCTACACCAAATGGAAAGGTGGTTTCTGTTTTACATTTCTAATTGATCAGTTGACAATTTATTTAGGGAAGAGAGACTTCATGGATCATTTGACACACGTGGATCCCATTGGTGAGTTGAGTAGAGTTTTCTTTTAAGTAGAGAAACTTGAAGCGTGTCTTTCCTAGCTTAAGATTTATGTGTGTCTGTGCAACCTGTACAACCTATAACGATGTATCACAATACAGGTGATTCCCTACTCTGAAATCGTTTTTTCCAGTTAGTAAAATAGCCTGAAGTTCTGTTCTGTCTAATCATCCTTATAAAATAAGACAATTATTTCGGACACTTGTTGTTGTCTGATCTTTTTAGGTTAACTTTTTTGAAACGAGTCCAGCTTTTGGCAGTTGGGGTTCTCCTGAGATAAATAAGGATCACGCTGAAATGGTTTTTCATGACTCACCATCGTTCAACGTCGATAAAGTAGGATGTTGATTTCTCAAAGCAAGCCATCAGTCACCATTTGATCGTGTCATTCAAGCCTTTGGTAAACAGTTTGTCAGTGTTGTTGAACGTGTTGAGGTTGCTTCTTATGAAACCTGCAAAATTTCTGCTGATTGAGGTTTCATTACCTACTTACTTGTGTCTAGGCAGTAACAGACTTGAGATAAAGATTTTTAGACCTAAATTTCCAATGCACAGATCATGAAGCTCAAGTATGTCTGCCAATTACGTCGTGAGGTCATTTTAAATAATACACTGAAAGGACTGATGCATTCTCTAATAGTGATCTCCCAGTTCTTAAAGCATACACACACTAGTTCCTGTTTCCAAAACTTAGTGTAAAAGGAACTGTTCTATCTGACATTCCGATACCAAAGCTCACACCTGTAATCTCTATAGCATCTTGTCTTATCATTTCAGCACCATATAGGTTTTTGATCAGTTATTGGTGTAGGCTTTCCATAAATATGTATATTGTACTGAAATTCAGTGCTTATAATTATTTTAACCATATAAAGATATCCTTGTTGACTATCAGCATTCTGACAGAAGTTTGGATCCTTCTAGGAAGGTCGTTTGCTTGGCTCATTCTTTGATTCGTACTAGTTTCTTTCGTTGTCTAATTTTTCTGTACATACTGTTATGGTCTACTTTTGTCCAAACCGTCAGATTTCCAACGTTTTAAATGGTTTGATTTAAAAAAGTATAGCTGGAACACCAACCAAAGTTTTGTGTAGCTGCATTTTGTATAAACTTCTGGGTCTGCTATTAGGTTTATTACGTGAAACCTTTTCAGGTCCCTCAGGAAACAACCTTCCACGGTGTGGGCAGCCGGAAAGTGATAGCCGCCCTCATACCCGTAACAGCACACGAGACCAAATTGGTCAAAATCAAATCCTTCCTACACCCGCTAATTCTTCTCTTCTCTCCACAATGAACTCTACTCACAGTCCTTTTTCCCACTGCACCGCTAATGCAAACGATGCGAGTTAGCGACACATCGTCCCTGGTCTCCTGAAACCCCGTTCTAAACTACATGTCGGGGCATTTAATGTACGGACATTGTGTCAAATAAGGCAACAGGCATCATTAGCTAGGACTTTAGAATCTCGCCCCAACGACATGGCTCAAAATCGTGTGCAATGGCGCGAGTGCATCCATTCTTTGAGCTCTCTCAAATCCTAATCTTCCGGATTCGTCAGCTCCTCTACCTTTGTCTTTCTAACCTTATTTGACTGAATTATACTTCTTGAATAATATCTTCGAACCCTAGTCTTCTTCATTACCATTAATACCTCTACTATTTTTATCACTATGGGGTTTGATTTGACATTTGCGTCTCTGTGCTGATGTGGTATGGCAACATGAACTGATGTACATACGTACGAAGTTCTACGTTGCAGCTGACTGACTGGAAACAGCAGTGATATCTGCTAGTAAGTTAAAGCATAAGGCTAGGAATAAGCCGTTGATCTATGTAGCATCCACTGAGCTGATGGTTGCTCGAAAATTCATCCCACCTGGCTGTAAACATGATGAAGAACGAAGTCTGCTTAAGCGCAGGCTGATAAAAATCCTATGCAACGACCCTGAAAAGTGGTGGGTGGCGAAAGCGAGAGAGATGGAAAGGGCAGCGGCGATAGGCAACAGTAAACAGTTGTTCCGACTTATCAAGGAAACTGGTATTAGGAATCCGAATGTGAGTGAGACTATCTCGGAAAAGGATGAGCCTATTATCCATTTTCAACCCAGGAAACTGGAAAGATGAGCAGAACACTTCGGGGATCAGTTCAACTGGCCTTCAGCCACACTTCGGTTACCCACCATCTTCAGTCATCCTGAAAGGCAAGTCGATGTAAGCCCTCCGAACCTTTTAGAAGTTGAAAAGGCTATAAGAAATCTGAAGCGAGAGAGAGCAGCAGGACCTGATAAGCTTGCCCCTGAGATGTTTAAGGATGGTGTTCCAGTTTTAACAGTTAGACTGACCGAGATCTTAGGTAGAATCTGGGAACTGGACGTAATCCCATCTGACTGGTTTCAATCTCTGATTGTCCCAATGTATAAGAAAGGATAAAAGTCTTCTTGCGCTAATCACAGTGGAATGAGTCTAACTAATATAGTTTCTAAATTGTTAGCCTCGATTATTCTTAGACGCCTAACTAGAGCTCGTGAAGAGCAGACTAGAGAAAACTAGTCTGGTTTCAGACCTGGACGTGGTTGTATAGACCACATCTTCACACTACGACAGGTCCTGGAACACAGATATAAATTTCGGCGTCCTATAATAGTTGTCTTCCTAGACCTTAAGGCGGCATTCGACTCTGTGGATCGTGAGATTCTGTGGCAGTGTACCAAAGAAGTGCATTCACCTTATACAAGCCCTCTGCTCGAAAACTACAGGTCGGGTGAGAGCTTATGGCGAACTGCCATCGGAATTCGTTACTTCAAATGGTGTCCGTCAGGGATGTTCACTTTCCCCATTTTAGTTTAATGTTATCATAGACATGCTGCTAGATATAGCATTATCTTCGTTCGACTTTTCAGGAGTGGACCTTCTACCAGGAGATTTACTGGTTAACTTAGAATATACCGATGACATAGTTCTATCTGGTGAAGACGCTGACAAAATGAAGTTTTCTGACTACTCTAAGCAACAATGTAAGCATGTTAGGGATGCGGTTCTCACCCCCGAAATTCAAAATGTTGCTTCAAGACTGGGTTGCATCGGTACCTGAACTAGTGATAGGGAGTGAAGTAGTCGGACGTGTAGACCGCCTCACTTATCTTGGGAGTTTCGTCAGTGCTGATGGCCTGGTGACGGACTGAGTCACTGCACGAATAGAGAAGGCTAAAACGGCTTTTGCCTACTTGCGTCACCTATGGCGTAGGCGAGATATCGGTTTGCTGACTAAAGGGAAGGTGTACTGCGCAGTAGTTCGCTTCTTCCTACTTTATGTCTGAGAAACATGGCCAGTCAGGGTTGAAGATATTTGTAGGTGTGTCTTCGAGGCATTGCTCGTATATCGTGGGACACCCGAGTGAGCAACGCTGTTATTAGGAAACGGGTGCTAGGTAAGAATGGCAGATCAATAGATGAAGTAATGGAACTTCATCAGTTGAGGTGGTTGGGACATGTGCTGCGTATGCCTAACCACCGACTGCCTTGATGAGCTTTGTTTTCTAGTGTAGGAGTAGGAAGAAAGCTAGGGACTGCCAGACCAAAACATGGCAGAAATCCATGAAGTCATTGACAAGTGGACTGGGTCATGTTGGTAGTTGTAGACTACCTGGTTGGGGTCGGCGAGACGAAAGTCACCAATGGTTAGAGACCTTGAACGACATGGCTGAAAACCGTTTGCAATGGCGCAGGTGCACTCATTCCTTGTGTTCTCTAAAATCCTAAAATTTTTAATTTCTCATCACTTTATTTTTTAAAGTCTGTTTCACTAGATTCTACTTCTTGAATAATTTCTTCTAATCCTAACCTCTGCGACTACTGCTAATACCTCTACTGCCTCTACTACTACGTGATTTTAATTGACAAGTTCTACGTTGTTATTGATTGATTGACCGCTAGACGTATTTCGGGTGTCTCATCAGTCCCCATCGTCCCGCCTCGGAGCGGATACAGAAGACTCAACTGACTTTCCAACTTGCGTCACTTCTGGCTTAGGCGAGATCTCCGGCTAACAACGAAGGACGGGTTTACTGCTCATCAGTTCGCTCCGTCCTGCTTTACGGCAGTGAAGTATTCCCGCTATGTGATTGTAACTAACCACTCCATCTCTATGCTAATGTGGTATGGCAACATGAACTGATGTACGCATGTAGCAAGTCGTTCGTTGTTGCCGACTGACTGACTTGTCATGTGAAAAGTATCATTGCTTTACACAGTGAAACTTCTGTAGCGACAATTTCCCAGATTATTTATCATTATTGCTGTCTTCAAAATTTTTTTCGGAGCCTCATAATCAATCGAATTTGCCCCAAAGCTGGGGAATCGGGAACATATCTAATGAGATAATATTTGAGAGTTGAGTTGTGTCAAGCTTGTTCCTTTTACATGCCGATATTATATATTTAGTGTGCGAATACTGTACAAAGAATTAATAGCAAAGGCTATATAACCTTACTTTACCCAAGCAGGTTTCGAAACTATTCCAACTGGCATATGGTTGCAACAGCGTGATGACATAGAATATTCGTCCTATATCATACATCACCATGATGGCATCACTTTCACTGCTTGAACGATGGAGGTTATCGGACAACGTGGCAGGACTAAGACCGAATTCGCAATTGTCTTGTCTTAACCGCTTATCGAAAAGCTTACAGATAGTCGATGTGGCATGAAACTTCTATGAGGTTGGATGTAGGCTTCGAATAGGACAACAGCAAGTGTTTCAGCACAGGAAATATTTGGTTCATTCGTGTATGGTTACTTATAATATCTACCTGGCCTTTTCGGGCTTGTGCATATGCTTTAGTGGCTATGAACTTCGTTGTTCGATCTAGTTGATCCTTCGCCATCACATGAGAATGTATTTTTATTTAGAACTGGACCGATCATTTATTGAGATTGATTAATACTAATTACATATGTTCTCATATTGTATGAGGTTTTGGGTTGTTCGTTTGTTTATCACATGAAATCTTTATCGTTTTACACTTCTTAAAACGTCTGTAGCGTTAATTTTCTAGATTATTCATCGCGATAAAAGATTTGTTGCGTAGTCCTTTACATCATAATACGATTGTATTTTCATCGTTGTTTACATTTTCTAACTCACTATTTTATTCTAATTTTTCATAGAGGGTGTTGTATTAGTGGATCCAGACTACGTGAAACATAGAAAGGTATTTGTTCATCTTTTGGGTGCGTTCTGGTATGGTCGGGATGAAGTCGATTTGCTTGGACTGAATTACCATAAAGATCTTTGTCTCATGACTAAACAAGTGTATCCACCATTTGGCTCCAAGCTATTAAAGTCGCATATACCAATTCTACTATCTGAAAATGGAGACACCACTGAGCTCTCATCGAATTTACTTCACAAATTCACTGAACCTCCGGGACGCACTCGATTACAGGAACGTTTGATTAGGAAACTTGGTTCGAATGCTTTTCCTTTCTACTTCCAGGTAATTTAATCTACACCATATTTGAGTACTATCAACCACTATTGGTTGTATGTATCAAAATAAGTTATAAAATTAAGTGTTATTTATCTTTTGAGGGAAATTTGTTACAGTTATTCTCCTATTGTTAGTTGGCTATGGTTATATTACTGGTCTTTAATTATTCAAGTTTTTAGAAGTCCAAATTATTTTTCAATTGCTAAAATACATCTAAAGGGTGGTTGGTATTAGGTTTTTTTAAGTTTCGACTAATAATTTCACCAGGGTGTAATTCGAGTCACAATGTGACAATCAATTATTTCATCCCATTAAAATATTTAAAAGTCTCTTCCTTTAATAGGCTGGTTGACAAAAGAGCTCAAGTATATCAAATCTTATATAGGACGTGACACTTTTGTATATATATTTGCTTCACTGCTGGGCAGTAGTTCAATCCCTGATGGTGTCATATTATATAACTCTGAGCAAAAACATCTGTATTTTATTTAGTAAACTTTATCAATAATACTTGTTTTACTTGATAATTTATCCATCAATGAGTTTTCGTATAGTCCGGCTAACATTTTAGTCTTTTGCTAATGATTTATAGTAGTCAATAAACTGTAGTTTATTGGTTCAAGCATCTAACGATAAATTAATTGGTTGTACTTAGTTAACTTAGTCTATGTGTTCAGGTGTTTTTATTAATCATGGTGATAGATTTTACCTGTGGACTTATATCCACTTTTCTGTTTCTGAAGTTTAAGTCTAGTATGAATCCCTAAGCGTTAGATCATTGAATATGGCATTCTTGATGAAGATCCAAGATATTAACAACCATATTCTCAGTTTATTGGTAAGACTATCACTAATTTTCTGCTCAGTTACTATATCCAATAGGTTATTGTTATCAGCAAGAATATTATTGTTTATCACTTTGACGCTATTTGTGGTCCTACAGTTTCGAGAATCAATTCTCCGAAAACATGACTCCATCCAACCAAAATTTCCTGTTCCATTAGATATGTCACATAATATTAATTAATTTCACAAATGCCCTATTTACTTCGATGTATACTGAAGCGTTTGCAAGTCTATAAATATATCACTAATGTTGATGATATAGAACAATGTTTATATCGTTAAATTTTTTGATCTTCTAGCTCCCGGCTTATTCACCGGCCTCTGTGTCCATACTCCTGAACCCATCTGATCGTGGAAAGGTAATTTTGAGCCTTTTGGTTAATTGTAGTTGGTTATTTGAAGGTATTTTGTTATTTATTGTATTTTAGTATGAGAAGTTAGACCACGTATAATCACACGACGTACATAGTTCCGATCTTTTCTAAAAGAATGGAGAACAGATTCTTTAGTCAGTACATGTCAATAAATGTTGTGATATTTACTGCTCCATTAATTAAAATAGTTCTGGTTACATGTAACCTGTGAATTAGACTAAGTTTTTTTTTGTTTGAAGAATGGTTAATACCTCATAGTTTATAGGTTAATTTGAAACTTTCCTGTGGTCCAAGTACCGTATTTCATACAACGTGATCACAATCGAATAAAGGAAAAGTTCACTATCAATAAATCGAGTAAGATTGTGATGTACTACAAAACATACAAAAATTCAGAATATGAATTAGATCTGCAGATGTTTTCAGTTATTTAAGCATTCATTTTCTAATTATTTCGTTACATATTTAAAGCCCTTACCATATACTTGTGCTTGGGCTGGCACATATCTCTGGTTCTCACATGACTAATGTAACCGCCCTAATACATGAATAACTAGTTTTATGCCGCCTCGTAAATAAATAGAAGAGGTTAATATTTTATATAGGTTTCCTAAAGGTAGTTCTGTATCTCTGTAGTCATAAGTTAATTTACATCTTGAAATAACTGTAACCGTTAAAAATCAAAAAGTGGTGGACAGTAGTTTTTGGACTAGTAGTGTACGCCTGTGACTTCGCTGGTAGCCGAACTAAAGACCATCAAGCTTCATACTGAATTCAGTGTTCTACATGTCTGATTTCATCTAATTTTAGATACTGCTCGACTATTCAATATTGTCGGCATTATCTGTTGCATTATTGATATAATTGAAATTCACTTGACCGTATCAATACAACTTCATAAATCTCTTTGCTGGTGCGCTTGTGATTATCATTATCAGAAGAATTTTTGAAAAGTCGAGCGTTTATCAAAGAAGCTAGAGATTGATTGCCTGTTATTTCTAACCGTTGTTGTGTTTCCTATGGTTATAATAATAGTGACTTCTTACCAGAAAGATAAACGGACACGTAAACCATATCGAGTCTAGTACAAATGCGTAACTGTCCATAATTGTTAATGTCATTCCTTTAGTACAGAGCCTGATTAAATTATTCATAGAGTGAATATACTTTTTTAAAATTTACTTATTTCCTCAATATTCCTACAGCGTTGTCGAGTTGAGTACGAATTAAAAGTTTATGTAGCGGATGATCAAGATGATAAACCACAGAAAAGGTAAATATAATTCTTATATATATATATATATATTCCAGTTGAATTAGCCATATGTGCAATTGTATAATGAAAGTAGCTAGTGTGTATATGCATGTTTGCCTATAGGCGACCTGCTTGAAGAGTAAAATATAACATGACACCTTATCTAATTAACTACTGAGTTTAGATAGCCACTCACCTGCGCAACCAGTATGCTATTGATATCAGTATTAGACTAAATTTGAATTATCCCGTTGTTGATACTGTTGACTGAATTTTAATCAGTCCCGATTGGTGTATTTACATCGTGGGAATTACTTATATCGAGGCAATCCACACAAGACGTACATATGCTGACTAAGATTGGTTAGAATTCGCTTGACAATATCAATAACAGAATGATAATTCAAACATATTTTATTAGTGATATAGATTTCTGTTGTAAGTTCAATTCTTTATGCTACATAGTTATAGATTTAGAAACACCTATTGTTGTATGTTTAAGTCTAAAAGTTTTTTTGTCTGCCTGTAACTGTTTTCTAACGAATTTATTTTTTCTACTTAATAAGATAAGCGATATTTTTTGTTTACATTTTATTGATTATGTACATTTTTTATTTATTAAAGGCAGAAAACAAAATTATTCAATAAATGTTAATTAAATTTTAAGTGATTTTTTTTCCTACGAATACATTTTAGTTAATCTCTTTAAAATATTTACATACATGCATCTTGTATGATTTTCTAATAAGATCTTTCCATCAAGCCAGTAAGTCTGTAAGTTAAAGTCAACATAGAACCTGACGCGAATGTTTATCAGTTCAGGTCACCAATGCAACAGAGGAAAATTGGTGGTGTGAAGATATAGAAAATAAGCTGAATTTCAAACCTGTAAATTAAAAAAATATCGTCTGAACAAGTGGATAAAATTAAACCATCAAAAATGTGACAATATTATTATTCAGGATTAACAAGATTATGTTGAGTTAATAAATCTACACTACTAATGAAACTGATTGTGATTTCCTAATGTTTCTAGTTATAGATCACTACATTTTCTGTTCATCTAGATTGATGAAGCTTTACAGCTTTAATTAATGACTCTTTTTGCTGTACATCTCATCAAGTATTCAGTAAGGATGAAATTGAATAATTGTAGTTTGAACGTAACTTCAATGTATTCATTTTTATTGTTGTTAGGTCGAAATTATTATACTAAAATGTGCACTAATGTTACTTATAATAGTAGAGAAGTTGAAGCCTGTAGTATATGAATTCAAGTCGATTTACTATAAAAAAATGGGATCATTAAAAACAAAAATGGTGTAAAGGAAGCAAAACAATTTGTTCAAAAACAATCCGTGATTATGGATTGATATCATGTTCTTGTTTAATTAAGCTGGAGTCCATTTCATACTACTATCGATATCATAGTTTCAAGTTACAATGAGCAGTGATGAAAAGGCATTACTAATCATACATCTACAACTGTCTTATGTCATCCACCTCAGTTTAAACCCAGTTTTTTTTGCTTATTCACTAAACAATATGCTTAACTGTTGATAACTAAACGTATATTTTGCTGAGATACAAGTAGCGTACAGGAATTTTACGTACTAATTAACATTTTTGTATTTGGGTTTAAATTCCACAAACGGTTACTTTGTAAACTTCAAAAGTTTATGAAACCATTTAGATCAAGCGGCAAATCGAAAACAACTAAACCATTAAAGTTTGTTTTCTATTACCGGGAATTTTTGGTTAGGACTAGTTTTTCAGAGCTAAATCAATCATGTATTTAGTAAACATTCATTTCGTGATAAAATCTAGAACAAGGATGTTTTATTTTTCAAGTGGTAGACAAAGTCGTTTCCATAAAACCAAATGATTGATATCGGAATTCCACTTTAATCATTTTCTTTCCATATAACAACGTAATTCAAAAACTAATGTTCTACTACTCTATAATTCACAAATGCTTTTATCTGACTTCAGTGCACTCGTTTATTTATAATCATGGTACTCAATTTGTCATTCTGACGGCTAATACTTCATTCTCAGCCAGTCAGTCACTTACAACGTAGAACTTCGTACATCAGTACATAAGTTCAGGTTGCCATACCGCTTCATCACAGAGACGCAACTGTCAGTTCAAATCTATTAGTGGTTGAGATAGTAGAAGTATTAGCAGTAATCGAGAAGATTATAATTCCAAGATATTATTAAGGAAGTAAAATTCAGTGAGATAACCTTAAAAACAGAAAGATAAGGATGATGAAGAATTCAGAAGATTAGAATTGTACAGAACGCAAAGAGTGGGTGCACCTGCGCCACTGCAAACGGTTTTGAGCCATGTCGTTCAAGGTCTCTAACCACCAGTGACTTTCGTCTCGAGAACACCTACCAACATGACTCAGTCCACTTGTCAGTGACTTCATGTATTTCTGCCATGTTTTGGTTTGGCATCATTGCAGATTTTGGTTATCCAGTAGAACACCATGCTGCTGTCACGAATCTCTGAAGTCAGCAGTACAACTTCGCCCTCAGACCTTCATTTGCTGCTCTCAGCCTTACAGTTTGCCAACAGATTTGCCTGGAATAGCAGGACCTAAAAGAGCAGGTGTCATAGCTACTAAAGCTTGGTTAGGTCATCAGAATTGGCAAGCCTGAGCACCACATCAAGGTCCTTATCAATTTTTTTACACTGTTAATATGTAGTTGTGCTTTGTTTAATAGGTTCCTCATTAGCAAATTTGTAAATTCTTGTACTGTTGCAGATGATTTATTTCGTGTGAAACTGTTGACTCATTTCAGTTGTAACAGTATGTAACAGGAAAGAAATAGGTTTAGACGCGAAATCTTTAATCATCAAAAATTTATCATCACTTAATAGTTATTAAGTAGGTTAAGTTAAGTAGGTCGGTCTAGTTTGGTCAGTTATTTCACGGTGTGAAGTGTCAGACAAAACAATGTTGACGAATGAGATATCTTGTCTCACTGGATTATGGATATGGCATAAATGTCTGGTAAACAGTTTGATTATATCGACTTATTGTTTGTTTGTTTTGATATTATGTTGGGATAGGTCATTCTTTTATTTTGTTGTCTGACTTCATCTTTGTATTTTTGTGTCCATTCGCATGATGGGTTAAGCAAAGCAAAAAATTTGTTATTTTGGAAGGAAATGAATTTGTAATGGCTTTTCTTACTTATAATAATTAGCTTGAAGATAATAATATGTTAAGGTAATGAAAGACAGTAAAACTAGTTAGAAATAATCTTGATACACATAAAGGAACTGATCTACACATAGATCACTAGCTGACTGATTGAAACACTCAACCAGTTTATAGCTGCCTGTTCAAAACTCTTCCCATATGATTCAGTCTTGAAATCCAGGCATTAGTAGTAACTATCATAGAACAACTATGAGCCAAAGTTTATAGAAGACAAACTGATATTCATGAACTGAATTTCTATTAACATATTAAACAGTTGAACCTTTTTAAGATTTTATCCATTATCGGTTGTTCGTATAAGTAATGTCTTATTCATCAAGTGTAGCTTATTTCACATGATTAGATTTAGTAACATGCATTCATGCTTGTTAAATTTATGAGGAGTCATAACTCAACTTACTTGTAATCACGTATTCCGAAAATACTATTTACAAAATTGATGCCAATGGACGGACATTGTCAGCTTGACCTAAAAATAAATGTTTGATGTAGGGGGATATATATGTCCTGTTCTGGTTTGAATATTGTACAGGTAGTACATTTTTCATATATATAACAGTAATCCAAGGCGTCATCTAATTTCTATCTTATATTTGTCGTTTTAGGAATTCCGTACGTATGGCTGTTCGTAAATTGACATATGCACCTAATGAACCAGGTCAACAACCATCAGCTGAATTATCACGAGATTTTCTCATGAGCGTGGGTAGTCTTCGAGTAGAAGCTACTTTAGATAAAAATGTAAGCGATTTTGATTTCATTTTTAATGTTTGTTTTATTCTAATAATTTCCCTAGTTTTAATAATTCACTGTTTCATTTTGTTTGTCAGAAATTAATCTACTACCTTAAGATTTCGCTAACGACTTGGACTTGGCAAATAATAGTCTTCTCTAAATTCTGTCAGTGACATTGTAAAATATTTAGGATGTATCTAGCTCCTTACAGCCGGAAAAACATGACTCAGGAATGGTTTGCATTAATATCCAGTTTGGTTGTAAATAGGGAAGTTGTTGATTTCACCGGCCAATTTTTCTTATCTTGCTAGTTTTATCAATCCTATCAAGCTTGATGCTTGACGAAACTTCGTTCCAGATGTGAAAGTCTGATTTTCGCAAAACCCATATTTTTCAAAGTACTTATGTGTTTGTTTATCAAGAAGTGTATGCTGCTCATTAGTTTACACTCTAGGACAGAATTACAGTAAAGTATAACCTTTATGGATAAAGGATATGATTATTCTGCTAGCATCCAAAAGCGGATGTTTTCGATGAATCGCTGACATTTAATGTAAATACTGAGTAAATAATACCTAAGTTGGGGCACAGTGTTAGATGAGAATAGGTGAACCAATAGATTCTTTTGTCAAATCTCATAGACCAAAATATCTAGACATGCGTAATACATATCTCAACCACCACAATAATAATTAACATTTGAATAGACCAGATAAAGAGGAAAAGTCCTTGAAATCCTCTAATGTTACTCTAAGTTGCATTATGTGCACAAACCATTATGGTAAAGATCCTCTAAATATTGAACATGATATTTTTTATTAGTTTTCATTTGATAATTTTATTTAGCATTCTGAGTTTTATTACTGTTTTTGTTATCTTCACCGTGCTTAATTCTCATTTTGTTACTCTCCTCTTTAATTATATTAACTTAGAGTGTTGCAGTGTGAACTAATACATAGTTTTTTCTGATATTATTTACTTTAGTCGGTTTGTCTACTTTTAACTGTCGACCTGTTCGAATCTTATATGTTGTTATTTGAGAATAATTCCATTGCAAAACATAGATTAAAGTTTTTAAGATAACAATAATTGAAACTACATGGATTTTATTTAGAAGCAATTAATATGACTGACTGTTAAAGCGATCCTGAAGTAAGGTGACTATAATTGTAGATAAGCAGATAAGCCAAACAAAGTCAAAATAATGACAATTTCAGCAAGGTTTTTAAAAAATGACTAGATAAGATTAGTTTGGTGTACTTAATTTGAACTTATGGCACAGAAAGTCTTTAAGATTTCCGATAATGAATCCTTCATTTATTTAGATAAGCATTGACTAATCGATTTACCGTTGGATGGTTTAAGTTTGCATATTCCTTTACTGAATTTCCCGATTGTACTTTGTCATTAATTTATTTTGGTAATTATTCTTGTTATACGGTTTATACAGGTAGGATTACTCCACATTTTATAGTATGGATGCTGCAACAGGCATTAATATTGTTGAGTGTTTTTGATAACGAGTGCTAACAAGTTTGAAATGAAAGTTCAGGGAATTATATCAGCACTTGATAATCATTTTAGTATAAATTATAATGGATTAACAACAATATGATATAGTTTATTAGAGTATTGTCACGTACAGGTTTTAATTGAAACCAAGCATCCGATAGTCGTGTGTTAAAAATCACCCATCATGTAGTCCACTCTCCATCTCTCTCTCTCTCTCTCTCTCTCTATATATATATATATATATATATATATATATATATATATATACTGTGCAAAATGATTTTCATACTAAACTTATCAAAGTTTTTCCTTGTATACAATTCTTGTGGGTTGATGCAGTAGTCATCACATTATTTATGTATGTTTATAAACTTGTTTTGTTTTTTTCCAAGTAGATTATGTGCTCGTTTCCAGACAGACTAATATGAAAATATTTTTAATACTTGATTGGTTGATTAATTTGTAATCATCAAATTTCTCTACTGATAGTTATGTAAAAGAAAATTGATTACATTATGCATATTGTTTAGTTCTTCTTATTATAATCTCACTGTAAATGTCCTACTGTCTCTTGATAATTGAATGAACTAAAGAATAAAAAAACATAAAGATGAGCTGTTCTACGAAGCTGGAATCGACACACGTTTTGTCTTCGTTGTATATGTTCAACTTTTCAGCTTCGTGAACAATACTCTTTTTTGATTTGAACAGAACAGTTTTTTCTTATCCTTGTTAAACAAATAAATCTATATAATCTAGGCGTTACTAAGACACTCAATGTAATCGATTTACATCAGAATCAATATCTATTACTAATATCAGTATAAGGCATCAGAATTTGATTCGTTCACATTGAATCTATTGGCTATTGATCTCATTAATTTTATGCAGTTAGTAAGTGAATTCCCTGTAAATATACTTTATACTGATTAATTTTAAACATATACAGTTTTGTTCTAGTTTATTATTGACTAATCTCTTTTTTCCTAAAAAGTGGGACTTTTAACATTCGATGCAAGTTATCAATTAGTCAATTTAAATTATGTCAGTATATAAATAAAGTTATCTTTGGTTATGATATAACACATTGGTTATTTAAATTAACAATAACCTTAATTGACAATTGTTTCAAAATGACTACTTTTTTGTAGGCTATATTCATAAACTTTTTAAATTATATTCCCTTGTTTTCTATTTATGACCTGTTTATTTGTTTGCATGAATTTTCAATTGCATTAATCCATATTTCTTTGTGAATCACTTATTGTAAATAAAGCCTCATTATAATTCGGTATTTTCAACCTAAAATGAAGATAATGAGGAGTATATATATATATATATATATATATATATATATATATATATATATATATAAGCGTAAGAACAAATGTTGTTCGCCTAAACATTTTCTTTCCGATTGTATGTTATGTGTATTCAATGTTCATCACATTTAATGATTATTGTCTAGACTTGATACAAACAGCATGGCAATCAATATATCTCTTTTATTTTTTATTATTGTAAATTTCAATAAAGCAAGAAACAATTATTATAAATTTATTGATCTCATAGATATTTTTTTCAACATTTTTATAATTTTCAAAATAGTTGCATTGTTTTATTTGATAGAACAAATAAAGTGTACACACTTTTTGATGATAAATTTACAAGTAAATATTGATTCAAGAATAAAATGATCTATTTGTTGATTATCCGAAAATAATATCAACACAATGAAATTAGTAAGATTCATTTATTAGGGTTATAAAACGCTGATATTGAATTGAAGAATTCACAGACTACAAGTAGAAAATTATTGTCATGGATTAGATAACCTCAATTATAATTAACTAAGTGATTTAGATATGTCGAATGACTGGTATTCAGAAAAGATCTTAAAATGAATTGTAACATTTCAATGAAGTAAGATGTTATACGAATGTAAGTAATAAAATAATCTCTAGGGAAATAATGTCTCAAATTATGGATACCTACTACTTCAATTGGAAATAATTATCGTCGAGAAAATTTATTGCCTAGATAGGTCGTGTTATTATTTATGAAATGAGTAATTCAATTATAAAGCTTTCATTATTATTCCAGGTGATAGTATTATGACTTATTTCTGATGAAATTAAGTGATTTTTAGTCAAACTATTTAGATCAAAATACACAACACCACTAAAAGTGTCAGCAGTTTCAAACCATCATTAATTGTATATATCCATATTATATTCATTATCTGGGAACTGAGTGATTGTACTGTTTAGTGGTTGTTTGTTCTCTTTTTAATCAGTTAGCTTCACTTAAAAAATGTGAACACAAATCTTACCGTCTGTTCTTCCGATGTATATGTTTTGACACGTATGTAGTATGATGAGAACTTGTCTACTTTTTGACTGTCTCACTGTGTTGTTTTTTAGCATAAACTAACTGTCTTGGCATATAAATGGATGGTGTTCATCCTAATCATTAGTTTTCAATTAATCTTACCAACAGTTTCACAACACTTGAAGACGAGTTGTTGTAAAAAAAGTTTTGTTTCACGTTGATTTCCTCAGTCTTATTTCAGTGTATTTAATACTGAACCCGCACAGATAACGATTACCGCCTAGATATTTCTCTAGCATATTGAATTCTACGTTTGATTACAAAGTATTATGTGTGTTGTTAAGCAATGTTCTAACTAAAGTTATGTTTATGTATACACATATATCAATGTATGTATGTAGATATTCTCATATCGGTAGATTCAATGTTACTCACTCCCTACTTTTGTTTTCTCCCTAACTTATCTCTTTATCTATTTATCAATTAAATTTGTAAATTGGTTTTATAGTTCAATCATTTCTTTCAATTGATAACTTTTGTTCTATTTGTATTTAGTTTTTTTTCATTATTTCGCATGTTAACCATCTGATAAAGTTTATTTTATTTCACCTTTATTTCTTTAGAGTTTGTCAACAAAACATATCATCCTATCCATCTGTAATTTTTATTGCTATTATTATTATTATTTTTTTTCCTTCACTGTATTTAGAAATATTTCCATGGAGAGAAAATTTTTGTCAATTTACTTGTGGATAATAATTCGAATAAAACAATTAAACGTGTCAAATTGTCAGGTCAGTGAAATGTTGATAATCATAAAAATACTATTGATCATAGTAATAATCGTTGTTTACAATATGGTACTTATTAGTCTATGCAATTATTTATATCTATTGTTTTTGAAGCAGTTTTACTTTTTCTTCAAATCAAATTCTTTGTAAAATAAAACGATGTTCTTTTGTCTATCCAGTTTATTTATTAAATGTAAATACTATCTTTTATATTTATGCTTAGTTGATTATTACTAATTTTTAAAGAAAATATATTTGATGTTTTCCTCAATAGGCATTCCATTTAGTCGAATAATTTTCTGCTAACAAGTTATCTAGAATTACTTATCGACCAAGTATAACCTTAATCCACGATAGTTTCTTGTTTCCGAAATAGTATCTAGGTTAGATTAAAAAAGTGTCCATGATCGGTTCGTTATTAGGCTAATTCTCCTGTTCATAACATTTACTTATTCAATATCCAACTTATTCATATCCGAATGTAGCAGTATTTCATTTATTTTTCGATAGCTTACCTATCGTTTTCGAATAATATTAGCACATCTAACAAACTTGTTTATCTGATTTTATGCAAAGAAAACGTGTTTTAACTGATTTAATATGTGGATTGCGATGTATTATATTCATTTTTGCTATTTTACTTTCTGAAGTGGAAATTTTCCACTTAAGTTTTTTTTATAAGTTTGGTACTCGATGACACAAGTGGTTAAAGTTCAGTGTAGTTAAAGTAAGGTCAAAACCAAATTCCTACCATTTAATTGTTCTTATAATTTATATGGTGTGTTGTTCTGTGAATTCGTTGATTGTTTAATGAAATCGTCTCAGCGTATGCAAACTTCTAAGTTGAGTAGTAGAATTTCAGTATTTATAATTAGGGACATTAAATAATACATTCGGTCACTATTATTATTACTCTTTATCTAAATTTTAAACGTTGCATCATTTCAAATGGTCCTTCTCATATTTTAGCTCCCTGCTACATTCAGTTTTCATTCATTATGCTGGTGTAAGTTTTAGCAACTTACAACTATATCATTCACTGTTTATGATCGTCTGACTAGTTGATTAATATAAAAAATTATTCAGCATAAATCAAATTCTAAAATTTTTCATATACAAAACATAACAATATTCATAGCACTAAAATTTTACCAAAATTAGTCTGGGTGAAATTTCATGATTAATTAATAAATTCTATCTAGTGTTGTATGTTTTAGTACACTGAATTAGTTGTTACATTGTTCAAGCCCAGATTCTATGTTTATAATATAAAAGGAATAAGTATTTTTATGTTGTTTCATTGTTTTTTTCTTCACAGTTCGACAATATACTCAAGTTTATGTACAAAGTCCTATTCATTTCAAATGTTCTGTTGATGAAATTCAGTCGGAGTAAGTAGTTTGACTGATTAAGTTTATTTTCTATCCATGAATTTATTTCGATTTATTTCAGTATTTTAATTTTGTTGTATTTTCTTTTAGATATTTTTTGGTTTATGTACTTTGCTTTTTATGTGTGTATATGGTTTTTATTCTGAATCTCAGTCATTATATAATAGTCCACATTCAAAAAAGATAACTTTTATTCTCTATTTCTTTGGAATCAATGCTTTTCACATGTCTCCCATCGATTTTTATGTTTCATAACACATAATTGAATTTCATGATTGTTTTTAGACACATTACTCCTTGTGTTCTATTGGTGTAAATGTTATCAAGGTGTACGCTTAATGAATGATTATCCTCAGTGTAATAGATTATTTTTTCATCATACTTATAAGAATTTAGACAACGAAAATATATCAATGTGACTGTTTCGAAAACATGTTTAACCGGCTTTTTCAAGTAGATGGTCAATTGTTCCCCCCCCTGCTGAACGTTTCATTTCCGAGTCTGAAATTTTATTTCTTGGTAGATACTTAATTGATAAATATTCAACTTATTTAACTAACGTATTTCATTCCTATTATCTGCCAGTTTCTTCCCTAGCACTACTACTCTAGCGAACGTAACAAGTTTAACATAAGTGTCATGAGTATGTTATTGCATAAAGATGAATAAGTGGGTACCTATTAATTATTTTCATCCATATACGTAAATAATTCTTAGATCAATTAAAAAAATAAGGAATAAATGAGTGAAACATTTAGTTAATGTCAAAACTTTTTACGTACTATTTTATTTACCAATTTACACTTTGTTTCTTGAAGTTTTCAATTTGAATTAAACACAAGGAGTTTTAGGTAGTTTATTGTTATTTACTAACTTCTGTGGAAATCTTTTTAATATCCTGAAGTAAATTAGATACATAGAGAGTTGAATCTTTACTTTCTGACACTGACGTTTCTCCAACAAATTTGACAAAGAAATGAAGTGCCTAGTTAGTTTTTATCTAGTTATAAGTTGAGGTACTCTTTTCGGCGCAATAGCTTGGTTGTGAAAACATTTCTGTGTACAAATTTCGGCACTCCGCTTTCACTTAGATAATTTACTAATTCGTACCTGCCCAAATCGATGCATTTTGAACAGGATCGAACTTACAAACGTATTGGTTGAAAGCTGATTGTCTTAAACATTAGGCTGGTTAACTCATCTTGAAAAGCTGAGCATTATCAGTAGTCTTGAACAGAAACTGTTTGGTTCATGGGAAACTGCATAAATATGTGCCTAATATAAACGAGTCACATTCTATTGTAATGTAATCTATACTCCCACCCTATACAAATATTCTGAAATTCACTCTTTTCTTCTGGAATATCACACATGACAAGCTGAAGAAAATGGTTAACTAATCTTCATAATTTATCTCTGATATTGCTAATGGAATCTCGATTGTTAAGCTGGTCATACAGATATTTTGTTTTCATCTAAATGAATTATTTGAAATGTTCTTTATCTTATTGTTTCTGAACTCAAAATCAAACCAAAGCACATTACTCCCATTTTTAATGACAATTTCGAATCCTTTTCTTGTTCGACTAGCGCAATGATAATGTAATGTACATAATTCTAGTAGTTAAAATGACATACTTTGGATTATTTATTCAACACAAATGAAATTCGTGTTAAATAATGTACAATAAATAAAACCATGTCTTATTGAATACCTTATGTAAATAACAAATCCTTTCAATACATTTTTGGAATATAGTAATTCTGTTTGTTTTGCAAAAAAAACTGTTTACTGAAAATTCTCTGCCAATTATTGTGTTTGTATCATTAACCTAAATTACCACCGAGGTTTTGTCGATTGGGGGGTTTCGTAATTAATGTGCGGTAAGTACAGAACAATGTATTTTTCAACAAATACTTGTTAGTCACTATCTGTAAAGCTCGATTATGACATCTTTAAACGTATAATTGAACAAGCGGGGGTTGTTCTTAGAGAATTAGAGTGTACGAGTTACATAGTCAGCCATATCATTAGCTCTTGTACAAAAAAATTAATGTTTTATTTGTCTGTTTAATTTTTTAGTGTTTTTTTTATTTCTGATTGCTACTTTTTTGTTACTTGAAAATGTTTTTTTTAGGGAACGCTTTCCTATTCTACCTAGCCAAACTGGTTGGTGCAAAGTTTATCGTCTGTGTCCGACGTTAGCCTGTAATCGTGACAAAATCGGTGTTGCAATGGATGGAGATTTAAAACAAGAAGATACTAATTTAGCCTCTTCTACAATGTAAATTTAATTGATTTTTAAAAAAAAGACTTTATTGACTCTTTTCAATGTTGTGATTGAAGTTTCTTTGATGTTAGAATATCTATCGTAGTTCTGTTATAGAAATGTATTAAATGCATTTCTTAGCTGTTACGCTGGCTGAATAAATTTATCATTTTTAAAGAATAATTATGCATCATGCTTGCTTGTATATCAATCAGATAGTGTTTAAATGTAGATAAAAGTGACTAGGAGATCATTGCTGACATTAATAAACGAAAGATTTGTTGTATAGAAAATGAGAATTTTCGTAGCTTAGACTTCTATGACTTCAACACCTTCGTCTCTAACTCTGTTGAGTCATGACATTCACTTCTTTAAACATTTTATCAAAATATTTTGCCATTTTGCGAATTATTCCATTAGTCTCATTGATGTGATATTCAAGTTATAGAAATGTTAAAAACTTCAGAATGACATATAGATATAGGGACTAAGATAAAATATATCTTTACCGCTGTACATCTAAAGTTTTTCAACTTAATCTTCAATGTAATAACTTCTTCCCGATTTCGTAGGTTTTATTTTCAACTAAGTATAGTTCTAATCTCCAGTTACTAACTGTATTCAAACTTCTTCACTTCGTTAAATAATAAATTTGTTCCAACTCGTAAATACGAAATTTTCGCCTTACGATCATATTTTCATTTCAAAATTTTTGTAAGTGATTACCAACGAACTTTAACGTCTTCATCCATAATCAGTGATTTTAGGCCAATAAATATGTCCTATTTTTCCACATCATTTCGTTTTGTTTTCTTTGTAGTCTCTGTAACGATTAATCTAAAATGACTTTAGGATAAGTCACATAACTGTTAGAAAAATCACTGATTACGGATGGTCAACTTAGTAATAATTTTCTAAAACTTCTGTCAGGAAAACTAGAAATTGTCTTTTCGTTACTGGCTGTATAAATCGTTGTTTTATTCGGTAATCTATGAAATAAATGCAACGGTTTCGACACTTGTAACTGCCTATCTGTGCTCAGGATTCAGTTAATATTTGGTTAGCTTTATCGCTGAAGATACTTGTCGATTTCACTTTTTCCTAACACTTTAACCTTAGCGTTGATATAACTCATTTACTTTCTGAAATTTTAATGGCTATTAAGGGCAAATGGCCGGTGATCTATTTTATTAATTGCAAAAAACCATGAATTACAGTGGGATTTTATTTCCTAAACATCGCGGTTATTTTATGCTAGCTTGATACTTGAGATTTGATTGGACATTCGTGTCTCTGTGCTAATGCGGTATGGCAACCTGAACTTATGTACATACGTTCGAAGTTCCACGTTGCAACTGACTAACTGACTGATACTTGTTTAAAGTATTTAGGTAACAAGCACATCCTATCAGTTCATTTCAGTTAGTTATAAAATATACTCATTATTTTGGAAGTTGTATCTGGTTGTTAGTTACTGAAATTAATTTACCATGCTACTGTTTGTCATTGCTGTAATGTAATTTTACAACTGAAACTTTATTAAAATTGTATTTTAACAATTCACTGTAAATCTGTAATATACGTTGTTCACAAAGTGTCATTTTTATCCACAATGTTTTTTTGTCAGTACTCCTGCCAATTCAACTAGTCGGGAATTAGTTGGAATTATTGTACAGTACAAAGTGAAAATACGATTAGTTCTTGGATTTGGCATTAGGTGAGTGTACTTTCATTGACTTTTCAGATCAGATGCTGTTAATCCATTAAATTGACGAGACATAGACATATAACTGTCACCCACTAACAGTCTCCAGCCTACCCTGCCCTGGTCCTTTTCTATTTCTATCCAGTTGATATTGATTTTTCTCATGTCTTCCTCCAATACTCGGCGTAACGTGTTCTTCGGTCTTCCTCTTTTCCATTAGCCTCGAGGATTCCAACTGATGGCCTGTCTTGTGATGCAGTTTGATGATTTCCTCAATGTGTGTCCTATACACTTCCAGCGCTTTTTCCTGATTCCCTCCTCCCCTGGAATCTGGTTTATTCCATCACACTGACCAACAGATCCTCAGTATTTTGCGTAGACAACTATTATTAAATACTTGTATCTTGTGGATGTTGGCTCTCGTCGTTCTCCAAGTTTCCACCCCATACAGTTAAAATGTCTTCACATTGAAAATTCTGACTTTGGTGTTGATTGATAGTTGTTCTGAGATCCAGATATTGTTCAGTTGCCGATCCACGCCTTCACATCCGCATTAAATCCACCGTGCTCATCAACGTTGCTGTCCAGATATGTAAAGGCTTTTACATCTTCCAAAGTTTCTCCATCAAGTGTGATTTGGTTGGTTGATGTTGTGCTGTATTGGAAAATCTTGCTATGTTAAGACCTACTGCTGCTGAGGCTGCTGCTAAACTGGTCGCTTCCTCCTGCATTTGTTGCGTGTATGATAGATGAGCCAGATCACCTGAGAAATCTCGATCGTCCAACTGAATCCTAGCTGTCCACTGAATCCCATTCTTCCACTGAGATGTTGACATCTTCATAATCCAGTCGATCGCCAGGAGAAAAAGAAAGGGTCAAAGCAAGCAACATTGCCTAATACTGAACATCAATTAGAACGAGTCTATGAGCTGCGCTCTACACACGATTTTGCACTTTAATGTATCATAAGAATTCCGTATGTCGTTGACTATCTTTTCAGACACGCTATGATGTCCAAGAAGCCTCCAAAGTGTTATATCTTCCAAACATTTACCTTTATCGGCTCTGCTGCTCCTCTTTATTTGCCTGTTTGCTTCTGTCTATTCAGCCTGTGACTTGGCGTTCTCTACCCTTATTCGGCTGACATTCACTGCTGTTTTCTTGTCCTTCCTTTTTTGAATCTTATTCAGAGTATTCATAGATATCTGTTCCTTGTGATTGTAGTTCTTGCGGCTCAAAACCTCATAACTTGTTGATGGGATTGCTTCATTGATCCCTTCTCAGTTGTTGTCCATGTTAGTTTCCTCTCGATTGAGTAGACCGTGAAAATCGTGGGTACTTTTGCTGAGGGCTATCTTGCATTCGTTGAGCATTCCGGTATCCCGAAGAGAGGCCTTATGAAACCTTTGTGATGTTTTCCGCCCCGTTGTCGAGCGCTTCTTGAGTATCAGTTTCATCTGGACCACTATTGAGTGATGATCTAAAGCTATGTCAGCTTCTCTCTTAGTTATCACGTCCTCCATGGTCCCTCTGATTTTTTATTGATACAGATGTGGTCGATTTGGTTCTGTGTATTGTGGTCCGGTGAAATCCATGTGGCTTTGTGTATGTGTTTGTGTGAGAATATGTCGCTGTTTATGATCAGTTTGTTAAAGACACCTAGGTTTGTGAATCTCCCACTGTTTTCGTTCCTTTCTCCCAGTCCATATCGTATCATGATGTTTTCGTATCCGGTGTTGTCCATTCCAACTTTAGCATCTAGGCCTCCTATCAGAATAATCAAGTCTTTTGTTGGACATTTTTCAAAGATTGATTGCAGCCCCTCATTGAATTGATCTTTGACGTCGATATCTTCTGAAACACAGAATGAATGAGAACGGCTGGGCATGCTGCGTGCAACCCCTCCTCGTTGAAAATAACCTTGTTAAAAAGTGCTCAGAATTCTTAATAAACATGAAAAGTGAAATCGCTACAAGTTCACATACTCATAACATTTACTATAAAATTTTCTATATTTAAGTTTTGGTCATATAGTTTAAGCTAATATCCTTTATGTTTTATTTTTCTTCAGTGATGTTTGCTTAGAATTACCGTTCATTTTAACACATCCGAATCCAGATTCCTCTAACTTAAATGGTGATCGACAAGATGATGAGCTTATTTCATCTATCACAAGTGAACCATCATTAAGTGAAAAAACATCAAATAAAGGAAGAATAACAAATTTAGAAAGTGTTAAACTAAATCCAGACACATCTGAAATGAGACAATCAAATGCTGTTATGAATGCAACTCCATTAAGTTTACAAAATACTACTATACCACAAATTGATCCTAGTTTCCCGAATTCACAACAAATTAATCCCATTGACTCTAATCATTGTAATATGAATCATCATGTGAAGTAAGTTTTTATCAATCGTTTTCATTTTTTTTCTGTATTCTCACACTTTCAATATAATAATAATAATAATAATAAAAGTCATGCTTCATATAACAGATTGTTTTATGTGTACAAACTAATTAGACTAGAATTCGAATACTCCATTCCTGTATCACTGTTATGATTAAAATCATTGTATAAGTTTAATTCTCAGAGCTCGATAGTGTTCTGTCGATTGAGCTATCCAATTTGGGAAACCAAATTCAAATGTAATCATTCATCTAAGAAAGTAGTCGGTAATTTTATAGCATTTAATGCTTTTGCTCTGTATTTACTCAATTAGGGTTTAGGATTGTAATGTGAATGTTAGTTACTGTTTGTTTTGTTCATTTACTATTTGTTAGTGATAATTTTCAGTGGTTCGTTTTAAACGTCAGTCACATATTTTTTTAGTTTTCTTATCTGTTTGAAGGCGACTCTGTGAAGAAAAAACTTTTTGACAATATTATTTTATCAAACTCTACAGTCGAATTTAGAGTCAATATCCTATAAAGTTATAAGAAGACGATTACGTCGAATTATGTATTAAAAAAGTTGCTTAAAAATGGAGAATACAAAGAGCTCATTAAGATAAAATGAAACACGTGATAATTGTCTTTGTGATGAAAATGAGAGAGATGAAGAATACGTTAAACACAAGGTGGTAATAATGAATAATTAGAAGGACATAATGAAATTCAGTCACTACAAAACATCGCTCGTCGAGGCAGTCAGTGGTTGGAAATTCGTAACACATGTCCCGACCACCTCAGCTGACAAAGTTTCATTACTTAATCTATTGATCTGCCTCCCTACCTAGTACTCGTTTCCTAACTATAGCATTGCTTACTCGATTGTCTCAGGATATACGAGCAATGCTTCGAAGACATCTATAATCGAATACTAATAACCTACGAATATCCTCAAATCTTACTGGCTATGTTTCGCATCCATATAGTAGGACGGAGCGAACTGCTTCGCAGTACACTCCTCCTTCAGTTAGAAAACGGATATCTCGCTTACGCCACAAGTGGCGCAAGTTGACAGAAGCCATTTTTGCCATCTGTCTCCGTGCTGTGACTCCGTCAGACACCAGACCATTCGCACTTATGAGACTGCCGAGATAAGTGAAGCGTTTGACACGCTCAACTACTTCACTCCCTATTGCTAGTTCAGGTGCCGACTCAAGCCAATCCTGAAGCAACGTTTTGCATTTCGAGGTGGAAAACCGCATCCCTAACATGCTTGCATTTTTGATTACAGTGGTCAGAAGGCTGCATTTTGTCGGCGTCTTCACCGTGTAGAACTATGTGATCGGCATATTCTAAGTTAACCAGTAAATCTCCTGGTAGAAGGTTCACTCCTGAAAAGTCAGACGAAGATAATGTTACATCTAGCAGCATGTCTATGACAACATTAAACTAAAATGGGGAAAGTGGACATCCCTGGCGGACACCACTTGAAGTAGAGAATTCCGGTGACAGTTCGCCATAGGTTCTCACCCGACCAGTGGTGTTCGAGTAGAGGGCTTGTATAAGGTTGATGTACTTCTTTGGTACACCTTTCAATGGCAGACACTGCCGCAGAACCTCACAATCTACAGAGTCAAATGCCGCTTTTAGGTCCAGGAAGACAACTATTGTCGGACGCCTAGATGTGTGTCTGTGTTGCAGGACTTCTCGTAGTGTGAAAATATGTTATATGCAGCCAAGTTCATGTCGATAACCATACTGGTTTTCTCGAGTCTGCTCTTCACTAGCTCTAGTTAGTCGTCCGAAAATTATCGAGGTCAATATTTTAGATAATATATTAGTTAGACTGATTCCTCTATGATTGTCAGAAGATGACTTTTTTCCTTTCTTATAAATTGGGACAATCAGGGATTGAAACCAGTTCGATGGGATTATGCCCAGTTCCTAAATTCCACTTTAGATCTTAGTCATTTTATCTACTAAAACTGGACCACCATCCTCAAAGATCTCAGGGGTCAATCTAATAGGTTCCGCTGCTCCCCCTTGTTTCAGATTTCCTATAGCTCCCTCAACTTCACGAAAAGTCTGGAGATCATGGGCCACCAAAGTGTGATTGAAGGCCAGTTAAACTGATCCCTAAGGTGTTCTCCCCATGGATTCGATCTCCTGGATTTGGAATGAATAACAAGTCCATCTTTTTCTAAGATAGTCTCATTTATAGTCGGTTTCCTAATACATCGTTGGAATAGTCCTTTTTAATGATTTCGCACACCAGTATTGGATTTTTTGTTTCCCTTATAGTAACGTACATCAGTAATCGAATTGACTAGGTGAAGAGTTTATTGTCCTTTTAATCTGCTTTCTAACCGGTTCTAGGATTTCTGCTAGCCATTTGATGATACAATTGATTATTCATGTCTATTATCAACCTTACCGATATATCCTTATGTACTTTTGGGAGGTTGTACAGCTTTTAAATAACAATATCAGCACTGGCAACCGACTCAACTTTCATCTTAAGGATTTTTGTATATTTCTTTTCAGTCTCATCCTTTCAAATTTGTTCGTAAGAAAAGCTTATTAATATGCGATAATATGGATGATAATTTTGTAATGTAATCATGAGGATGTGGACACCATAGCACCTCTATCAAGATGGTATAAGATTAAATCTTTGGTTCTTAAGAGGTCAAATAGTTGTGATTTGTGTTCTTTTAAGAGTAGTCTTCTGTTTGTTGATTTAGCATTAGTGCATTAATGATACCAATTTACAATAGTTATTTTGAGTTGCTGGAATCTTTTGTTTAATACTGGGATAAAGTCTTCTGTCCGACAGATTAAGTTCTAAAATCAAATTTTTGTGTTCAGTTCATTAAAAATTGTTGAAGCGTTGTTGCTAAAGTGCTGTTAATCAGATATTTAAGGAATCGAAGACATATTTCTTGGTCGTTTACGGTAAGGAAGCATGAAATGACTGAGTTTAAGCTCTTCATCAACTTAATGTTTACATCTGAGAATTTCATTCAAATTATAATAATGTAAACTTCAAATCTCTCATGTTTATCTTCTGTTAGTTCAAATAATGTGTGTTCGTAGTGAACTATTTCGAACAACTACTAGCAGTTTTGATTTGATTTCATTTTTGTGATTCATTGCAAGACGGCTTAAAGAACAATTATTTGAATGACTGTGGTTTCAGTGCTATTTCCCGGTGTTATTGGGTATTCCTGTTTATCCGTATAGTATTCTACAAACTTAATTCTGATCTTCGCTACAACAAGCTTGACAGATTAACGCAGAAAACCATTAGGTTCCTGAACTATCACGTTATCCCTACGCGAAACTTTATCTGTTTTGGTCGAAACTCAATGAAAACAATATAACTTCATCCATCAAAACCTTCATCATAGTACACTAGTTAATACTGAAGTTGAATAGTATCAGACAAATCCTAAATTGATTAGCCATTTATTTAACCTATATTTCTGGAAATTTAAATTCCCTATATCTTGTGTACAAGCATATATCAACAAGTAACTCGATATTAAAATAAACAGTTTGTGGAGATGTGAACATTAGTGCTATAGATTTTTTAAAACCATTTAGAACTAAATTACCTCATACCCAATAAACCAATCGTCTCTATATGTATTATAGCGGTTTATTTAGGTTACTTAAACAGAATCCGACTATCTACAAAATCACGGCACTTAATGATACACAATAATTTCTCTCTACCGATATGATCATTTCTAGTGCTTGATTAGTTTGTTTTGATCCTCTTAGTTTACAGCACAAAGAATCACGGTTTAAAGCACTCAACTTTCATCTATAATTGGTTACAGTTTTGAACCTCTTAACATCTTATCTTATATTAAACATTAGTTCAATATGATTAGCCTTGATACAAATAGTTTTGCCGAATGCGTAAAACTGTATTTGTGAGGGAAATTACAGTACATCAAATTATTATACCGATAAAAAATTGTTCTTTCAATGTCCAGCTTAACACATGCATTAGCTTAATGTTTATGCATTTCTTTTTTTAAAATTTCTTGTTACAGTGAATCAGCTCAGACTCCGCAATCTTTAAATAAAGCAGTTTGTTCTTATTCACCACCTGTATGGGATCGTAATTTCCATTTGATTTTCTCCGGTTTACGATCATCAGCTAGACGTCCGTCTACTGTTGGTACACAATCTACCTTAAGTGAAGATGATTTATTATTTGAAGATTTTGCTCGTTTTCGTCTACAATCTTAATCATCTGTTCTATTGGCCCATAGTCTCTAATTTCTTTTTTTTTTCATTACATTCATCTACCTAAATTTCTGTTCCTTCTTTAGTTTACCATATTTTCTCATCATTTTTATCGTCTGTTTTTCTGTTTTTTTTTTACATTTCATCGATTTTTCTTACCTAAATATATTCCTCTTGTAAATTCCTATCTTAAATTATGTTTGTATTTTTTAACTAAGCGCATATAAGTTAAGTTGTCTATTCATTGAAATGTATCTCTTGTTCCTGTTCTTGTTTTGTTGCATAATTCACGATTAGCATTGCACAGACAGTTGTGGATGGAATTTGTAAAATGGTCTTTTTTAAGCAGATAAATCATACTAATTCTATTGTTCTCTACAAAATGTCTCCTTTTTACACTACCCCACTCCACCTCACCCTCATATTTTTAAACAATTCAACAAAATAATAATATTGACGTTAATAATACCTCGGCACCAAAAGATTCTCATCATTAATTATACATTATTCTTGTGTTATTCAATATTGCTTAGTACTATGATTGTTATGAATGATTATATTATTTTTATGTTAGTGTTATTTAGAGTAATTTTTTGTGTGTTTTACTATTTATCTATCATTAAAGTTTTTAATTACCTCAACTAATTTTTTCAGCTTGTAGTTTTTTTTATATTTTATGTTTTCAACTAAAAAGAAAAATAATCAATAATCTGTTGTATATGATATTTATATTTGTATAGTTTTCTTTTTCATTGATGCAGTAGTAGTAGTACATGTATCTATGTATGTCTAAGTATGTAAACATGAACTGATATCAATTACGATTCCTTTGTGTTTGTAAACTTATGAAAATATTTGCATTTTTCTACTTATGGCCGATAAAGAGAGATTTTTGTATAATAAATATTATTGTAATTGATTCAGAACTTTGAATACTTACTCTGATGCTTGATATCATTCGTGTACGATGTGTTTTATTTATGTGGAAGAAGATTCCGCTGTTTTGTTTTCCAATTAAAGTAATATTCTCAGCATTTTCTTCTAATATTTGTATAACATGCAATAAGAGAACAGTTTGTAAATGGTCTACATTGAATAATTTTATAATAAGGTATTTATATGAATTGTTTGCTCTTAATTTTATCATCACTGTCTCTTTTCAAATATGTTTGTAGAATATATACTGTATTGTTAAAGTGAATTTCCGTAATTCTGTGTATATTCATGTCTATCTCGGCTGATCAACAAGCATCTAGTTTTTTAATGTATTTTTTCTAACTTTTTGCTATTGTCTTTATTCTACACCGATGGCTTTTTTTCTGCACAAAAATAATTTCGATCGTGATTACGTATATATATATATATATATATATATATATATATATATATATGTATATATATATATTTATATATTTATATATTTATATATATATATATACCTAAATTTACTTACTATTTGATGTCAAGATATTCAATGTAATTAATTTAGGACAAAATAAATCAATTCATCAATCAATCATTTACTTGCAAAAAAGTATCTTTTCTTTCTAAGCTTTGGTCATCAGTTATGCATTTATATCTTGCACTTTTTTTCTATACTTCTCTTATCTCTAACGCCTTTTATTCGAGTTTTACTTGTGAACTGTGTTGTTCAGTTTTTCAGTAATGACATCTGCGTATGGATAGATATCAGTGCGATGAAAATTAACCGACAAGAATCTATTCTTATATCTATGTCTTTAATTATCATTATTTGCTTGTATTTTCCGCTCATTTTTATCCATACCTTTCTGATCATGTTACATAATTGTCTGTTTATTTCGTTCATCTCTTTTTTTACTACGACAAGCTTACGTGTTGCATAAACTTTGAGTGAAATAGACGCACAATTTCTGTTCAATCAATTTTTAGGCAATATATTTATATATCAAAGTATAATTTAAAAATAAATTATTATGATTCACTACTTCATTTTTTTCTTCAAAGTTGATTGGTTTTAAAAAGAAAAATTTCATAAAACGTACTAAATAAAATGAAGACGAGTAGTAATAAATAGATCATGTGTATAATGATTACATTTCAAGTTTATTTTATGCAATGAAAAATGCAAATATCACTTGATTTACATAATTTTAAAAACGAATATAGATGGTAAACAATATCACATGTGGTTTTACTTACTGATCGACTTCAGTCAGTCATCTTGTTACAAACTTACCAAATTGTATCTTCACCGGACTGAATATCCTTCATTCACTCTTCGTTGAGATCCGCAGATCCATATTGTTTAGTAGTCTCATGCTAGAACAAAACAGTCGCTTAGTAATTATTGGTTTTAAATGATTGGTCTAACTGTGATTAGTCTTGTTCTTTGATAAGAGTTTCTTCCGTTTAATTATTTACAGTACTTTTGTATCTCAAATCATAAAGATTTTGTTTTACCATTGTTTATTTAGAATTCACTTATTTTTCGAACATTTTTAAGGTTTGTTTATTCAAAATTAGTTTCTTCACCTAACATTTTGTTATATCCGGTGAAGACTTAAGTAAATAGTAACTTAGGATATCGACTCATGGATACAACAGCTATTTTATTCAAAGTTGAATCGTTACTGAATGTATTAACCAATATCATATTTATCTAGTCCTTGAGAGCTAATCGAATCTTAACGATATAGTCACTCATTAAGGTGTTTACATCGCTCGTACTCTACTGAAATTTTAGGTGGCTAACATCAAACACTGGACCTAGATTTAGTGCTACTTGATATATGGCTGTAATCTTCGGTGAGATGGTGCATTCTATGGGATTCAGCTTATCATGGATTTCTACTGAAACGAGACTTAAGTATTTGCTTAATGAGTAGCGATTCACCTCAAAATATGGTAATTCTATAGTTCTGCTCTTTGTTATCTCAATTCATTTTGTGAAATTTCTCCGGGGTTTAATTTATTTACACCCGGCTAATAATTGTTCATGTTTTTTTGTGAAATTAATGTTGTATTGTATCATCAATGTTAAATTATTTAGATTGTTTCACTTTTATGATTCATTCATTTAATTTCTAGAATTTCTTTTTTATTACTGATAATATTGTTGGCTGACAAGCGTGATTCATAAAATAAACAGAATGAAAGTGTAGTAACAATTATAATTATTATTGTCATTAAGAGATAAATGGTATTTATTTGTCTATATAATTACAAAGTAATATTTATTGAACTATTTGCATTTATGTGTTACATGTTGACTAATTCGTGTTAATGATAAAGCACTCACAGATGTATAATGCTGTCATGATTTTTTTTTAAAATTTCACTATTTGTCTTTTGATGAAAGAATCTATACAAGTTGATGCGCACCTATGTCTTATTGCTTAGCTCATATTTCACTATTTACATAAGATTAAGTGTTTGAAATATATGTCAAATAAAAATCTACATATCACAGGACATAATATATATTTTAAAAGAATTTATAGTTTTGACGATTAAATAAAATATCTACCTTGAGGCTATTGTAGGATTATCTTGTGTTTCATTTTTTTTAATGTATAAGGATTAGGTAGAATTTGTGTGGGTGGTCATTTGGAATATTTGTACAATTGATGAATCAATATCACAAATCGACATCGTTGGGAACTAGTTATTTTTGAATGACTATTTCGATAGGAAACTGTAGGCTATAAAGGCAACAATATCAATGTGTAGCACTTACCGACTGATCGGTCGTGTTCGCATTACGTCTTGAAATAACTCAAGTTGGACGTATTTATGACTGGGTTATAACAGTCTTACTATGCACGAGATCTTGATGTCATGAATCTTTAGATATAACGGCTGATGATCTTTCACTTTCCTTATCGTCTGACGTTAGTTTGTTGAAATTATCGAAGTAGGGCTCACCACTTTAGTGGCTCGCGATACGACTCCACTTTATGCAAACGATTAGATATGCTATGCAATAAGTCTCTAATTTCCAAATGTCATACTAGGCAAAGCGCTTTTGCTCGTCATCGATAATAAGAAGCCAAATACGGATCCAGTTAGACTAGCTCATATTCAAGGCAATCGTTCATGCAGACAGACATGACAAAAAAAGGTGTGCAAGCAAAGCAAATGGGACGTGAGTAATTCAACTCCATATGGTGAGGAATGAATAAGTATTTATGGTCATGCAAAATAGACCAGACATGTGATAAGCGAAGTAAGCATGCCCACACACACATACTGCAATAAAAACTGTCAAGGATATGAGCGAATCATAAACAAGGTTAGAATATGTGTGAGTAACTGGAGAGGAATGGATTAACTAATTTGTTGAGAGGTTGTGACAAGCCCTCTAAGCTCTACATATTTGTACACACTAATACCAGGCTACCAAAACTGGAGTGGATTGCGAAACCTTACTCTCGGAAGTTTGGCGTTGAAAATCAGTCAGTCAGTTACAACGTAGAACTTCGTACGTATGTACATCAGTTCATGTTGCTATACCACATTAGCACAGAGAGGCAATTGTCAATTCAAATCCTACAGTGGTAGAGATAGTAGAAGAATTACTGCTAATGGTCAAGACTAGGATTTGAAGATAATATTCAAGAAGTATAATTCAGTGAGATAAATTTAGAAAGAGAAAAATAGGGTGTTGACGAATCCAGAAGATTAGGATTTGAGAGGACACAAAGAGTGGATGCACCTGCGCCATCGTAAACGATTATGAGCCATGTCATGCAAGGTCTCCAACCATCGGTGACTTTCGTCTCGCTGACCCCAACTAGGCAGCCTACATCTACCAACATGACTCAGTCCACTTGTCAGTTACTTCATGGATTTGTGCCAGTTGAAAATGAATCAATCACCCAGAGCACCATATCCATCCAACCGATGAATAATACAAACATTTCTAAGCATATTAACCCTGAACGAAATTGCACAGTTTTTCATGTGTCAGATAACTTTTGACAATCTGTGTCCAATATGGTACCTTGACAAGATTGATTCGTATTTCTGAAGGATTTAAGAAGACCACTGTCTTATGTAGAAATTATGCCTGAGTATACGATTGAAGGACAAACCAAATTAATCTGAGTATAATCTATAAAAATTCTTTTTTACAGTTTCATTTCAAAACATTTGTTATTTTACGTTACATCAAACACCGAAAACAGTTGGTAATATTTGATGATGACTCAGACCTATAATACACCTGAAGTACTAATCCACGCTCTCATTTGTAATTTATCTAATAATTCAGTTGTTTTCTTGTGGCTTATGTAATCTATGTAGTGCAATATTTTTCAAAATCATGTACCGGCTTTAATCATAAATTCCATTTTGTTACATAACAATCGTCTAATTTTTCGCTACTAATTTGATTTTTAGTTTTAGTGTCATAATTCATTCGATCGATAGACTTAGTCGAATCAACTACCTAACAGTTTAATGTGAAATGATTTAAGTATCTTCGGAGGAAGTTGATTCACCCAGACTGGTGAGTCATACTACAATAAAATTCCATTAGAATTGTATACACATGTTATTGACTAG